ATCTGCAACAATAACCGACTCCATTGCTATGCTTAATTATCTTTTTCATTTATTTTGTATCTTTTTAGATTTATAAAATGTTTCAGTGATGCTAGACAAATTTAAACTAGAATTATGTATGGTTATTGTTTTCCTATATATGTCCCATTACTTTTTCTGGCTTCACCATCCACTATGTTTCTGAATGAATGTATGATAAGTCTGAGTAGTCTGATTATTTTAGTTACCATCCTGATAAAAATAGGTACATATCTTAATGGAAAGAAAAACTGAATGGATCTATAACGGAATGGCTAAAGGGTAGGAATAATACGAGCCTATTAAAATCTCAGAAAATGCTTTCCAAAATGATACATATCTTAACGGAAAGAAAAACTGAATATAATTATTTTCTTTAGTGTTGTTTACTTGAATAAAATTGCTATCTTTGTTATAATTATTTTAAAAGTTATATTTTAAGTAATTTTTAATTAGTTTTATTATATACAAATATTTAAACTAAAAATATATTAAAATTAAAATCATTTTTTTAAAAATTTTATAAGTTTAATACATTAATTAGTCTTTGAATTTGTTAAGAATTTTTTAATAAGACTCTTATATATATTTTTTTTAATTTGACCCTTTTTATATGTTTATAAAAATTATAAGTCTAGTTATAATTCGTGAAATTTGACAATATTTTTTTTTTAGAGATAGAAAAGATTACAAAAATGGTTGAAATGAGGGATTGAACCTAGATCCTCATGCTTCTAACTACCCTAACTTTTCCCTACCCAACCACTAGGTTAACCCTAGTGGTTAATATTTTTTATATCTTCACAATTAGACAACCACATTAAATTAATGTTTCATGCTATTTATGTGTATCAATTTTTAATTCTCACCTCACTAGTCTCCCAAACACTTACTCCCTGAACTTAAAAGGTAGAGCTGTCAAAACGGGCCAACCCGGCCCATGTGGGCCGACCCACTTTGACCCACTTTAAAAACAAGCCAACCCAACCCGGCCCACTTGTGATTTTCTAAAAAAAAAATTGGCCCGGCCCGGCCTACCACGGGTTGGTGGGTTATACGGGCCAGCCCACCAGCCCACCAAAAATTAAAAAAAAAATTATCAACAAAATTCAAAATTTTAAAATAATTATAAATTAACATAATAGTCATAAAATTAACATTATTAATAGTCATAAGTCATAATTCATCATACAAAATTAAATACAAATCACGATAAAAGTATAAAATAAAAATTTTCAATATACCATCACACAAAATTAACTACAAATCATACTTAAATTTTTATTGCAAAAAAAAATGATGGATTAGTGGGCCACCCGGCCCACCACGGGTTTAGCCAGGGTGGGCCGGGTCAAAATGAGCCGGGTTGAGATATACCCACCGACTATAAAACTTCAATTTTTTTTGGCCTGGCCTGGCCCATTTTCAAGGTGGGCCAGGTTGGCCCACGTGTCCCGGCCCACTTTCACAACTCTATTAAAAGGTAAACCAAATGGTGAAATGAAAGGTAAAGGGCAGTGAATAGATAAGAGTATGGAGAAGCGGATGAAGGTAGTGAAAGAGGTGAAATCAACGAAGAAGGCAGAGTGTGTATGCAATGAGTGAAGTGAAAGGGGAAGATAAGGCAAATGAAGAAGGAGGGTGTAAGAAATAAGAATGAATAGAAATGCGGACCGTGAAATCATAAATCGATTTTTCTATAAAAAAAATATTCCATGACACATTCCATGTATAATGTTAACACATAAAACAGAGAACTAACAAAGGTTAGGGACTAAATTATAAAAAGTATAAATTGATGAAGGACTTAAAATTTTATTTGATCAGGAACCTAATTAATTTTTTTTAAATGCTTAGTGACCAAATAGTTTATAAAACCTATTTTAGTCTATATTCTATGAAAATTAAATTGAGGCCTCCCAAATGGATGGTTATGCATCAATAATTATTATTATGAATAATAGATGATATACATTTTAGGTTAAATTGAAAACTTGATTCCTATACCCAATACCATATTTTTATCCTATATGGAAAGAAAAAAAATCAACGTTTTTTTTTTGACATAAAAAATATATATTTGTAAATAGATCCTTTTCATTTGCTAAAGTAAGTTATGATAGATTTCGTTCTCTTACTTGATATCATTTTTCGTTTTAGTCCCTGTGTAAAAAAAAAAATCACTTCATTTGATTTCTATTTTATTAAAGAAAAAGTTCAAATTTTAGTTTCTTTAGACAATTTAGCTAAAAGTCCAATAGTAAACAATAAGCTGGATTTAATTAACAGAAATCATTAGTCTCGATCGTAAGTATATTACAAAACTAATCAAATAGTACTGCATAAACTTAATTTAACTAATATTTTAGCATGTTAAATGTTTAAATTAACAATTAATTTAATTGATATTATAATTGGTTCTCAAATCTTAAAATCTTAATTTTTTTATAAAAAAATATTCTAAAAACAATAATCTTAATATAGTCAAAGTTACGAAGATTTCAATACTATGTTAAAAAAATAATGTTAAATATTTATTATATGTAATTAAAATTTATAATAATTAAATTGTGTCATATTTGTTATGATTGTCTGTGCGTTGCCTAACATTTATTTCTACATCTGAACCAGAGTGAGATGTTTCTCACTCTGATAAGTGTCTAATTAGGCTAATTAAAATATTAATTTAAGACACTTATCTAGCACAAAATTTTTGGATATAATTGTAAAATTATGGCAAATACACATGGAATAAAAAAGGGGCTCTTAATTGAAGTCATTATATGGAGTGATGATTTTTCTAATCAAAATTTCCCTTTATTTTGCAGATTTTGAAGATTGGAACAAGAAGGAGTTTCTAGAAGCAAATGACTCAGCCCTTTTAAAGGGTTGAATGCTTTTAAGGCCATAAGCAATTATTGGAGTAGTGGAAAAAGGGCTCAGCGGATTTAAAGGGCTCAGCCCTTTGGATTACTTAAGGGTAAAGGAGTCTCCCAGGCGCTTAGCGGATAGAAAGGGCTCAGCCCTTTGGATTACTTCATGATGAAGGATTCTCCAATCCGCTCAGCCATTTCCAGGCGTTGAGCGGTTCTTTCTCTTTCTTGCCTACTTTGTTTTGATTCCAACAACTATAAAAGGGTAGAGGGGAGAGAAAATAATGAATCGTAAGTGGCACGAGAGAAGAACAGAGAAGGAAAATGAAATAGAGCACCTTGGAGCTTGTGGGAACACAGTTCTTTGGATCAATCTCTTTTCTTCTACCTTTCATCTAGCTATTTCCAGCTTGTGATTTCTTCTATGGAGAGCTAAAGCTCTTGGGTTGGGATTGATGTAGTCATCGAACTCCTGTGTATTCCTTTTTGATTCATATATATATATATATATATATATATATTGCATCTATTATTC